AAGCTGTCAGCACAGAACCTGATGCAGGGCTCGAACTCATGAGCTGTGAGATTAAGACCTGAGCCGAAGTCAGACACTCAGTCAACTGAGCCACTCAGGAGCCCCTGATTATATATATTTTAAAGAGATTCTGTTTTCTGTACTTAAACTCATTTGAACTATTGCTTGTCACCTTTCAGATAAGTAATGTAGACTTTGGTCACTTTCTTCCTGCTCTTGATGAGTAGTTACAGAAATAACAGCTGGTTTCAGTTCCAGCCGGCAGATGTTACCATCATGGACTCCTAAAACTGAAAAGGGTCCATCTAAGTCCTTTTGTTTAAATTTTACAGTAAGAAAAGGTAGATAAACCATCTTACTTTTTTTGTGCCTCAGCTCAGATGGCCATGACCAGAGTAGATAAATAAAACCAGGGGCCTTACTTTCAACCAAGGCAAAGCAATGAGGTAGTTCTCATTAGAATAAATATCTCTTAAATAGATATTTTAAGGCAAAAGCCCACGGCTTATTTTTTTATACCTCTTTGAGTCATGCAGAGTTGCCCTTAGTAAAACACCAGGAACCATGGCTGTACTCACAGAAGCCCCACAATAACTTTGGTTGAATGTTGAAGTGAATGTGAACATGCAGAAAATGCATGTGGCATGTGATTATGACTCAGTGAAGCCCTGTGTTATGGAGGATCCCAGGGAAAAAAGCTGACAGTGCGCTGGGAGATTTCCGCAGATTATCTCCTTTAATCTTCACACCAGGTCTTACAAGTACTGCTTGAGGGGGGACTTTCTTAAGGCTGTAACTCCAGTGGGAGGCAGACCTGAGATTTGATCCCAGGCCTGCCTTATTCTGAAGCACTCTTTTAATGTCCTTTGTCCTGCCTGTATTTTCTTCATCAAATTACTCAACTGTAATTTCCTCTACATTAGTATTAGTGATGAAATTATAATTAGGCATTAAATAAGGCAGTATTCATATGGAAGCTGGAGAGTGGAGTTTGCCTTATATAAAGCATACCTTTTGAAGGTATTTGGGTCAAAAAATTAGACAATCCAACGTATGTGCTTTCTGCCTCCTTTTATTTCCATTCCTTTAAAATTGAAAAATAGCATGAAACATTTAATAAGGTGGTATGATCCTTATTAAATCTTAGCTCTTCTAGTCAGGCTGTCCTCAGTTTGGTATTTGAGTCAGGGTTACTCCTCAAAAATAAGGATTGAACAATTTGCTGTGTAAATTATAAAGCTATTTTGGCAAAGTGTAATTGTTAGGGCAAAACAGATGGAACAAGAAAAAAAGACAAATCCTCTTTGCTTTTTCATTTTTAATAACTTCAGCCTATGTACTATGTCTTAATAATTTCAGAGGTGTGTGTTTTTTTTTTTTTTTTAAGATTCTTAAAAATGTTTTTTATTTATTTATTTGGGGGTGAGGGAAGGCCAGAGAGAGAATCCCAAGCAGACTCCCATGCTATTAGCACAGAGCCCTATGCCAGGCTCAATCTTACAAACCGTAATATCATGACCTGAGCTGAAATCTAGAGTGGGATGCTTAACCAACTGAGCCACCCGGGCGCCCCCAGATATTTTTGTTATGTAATCTCTGTACCCAACATAGTGCTCAAAGTTACAACCCCAAGATCAAAAGTTGCATGCTTTACCGACTGAGCCAACCAGGCGCCCCATAGAGGGTATTTTTAATGGCTTTATGTAATTTAAAAATTTAGTGGTTTGGGGCACAGTCTTCAGGACTTCTTGGTTGTAAGTGACAGAAAACTAACTCCAGGAATAGTGCTCACTCAGAAGCTGTTGGCTTCGATTGCCAACAAGAATCTGCCTCATCCCACTCCTTCCCTCTGCTTTCTTTTACCCTGACTTCATTTTCAGAGATAGGCTTTTACCTCATACTGGCAAAAATAGGCACCAGGGTTATCATTTCCTAGCTGAGCAGCTAAGTTGGGGGACTGGCTTTCATAACCTAGCTGGAGGTTGTGTGGTCATGTCTGATTAGCCAGGCCTACATCACAGACTGTCTCTAGACTGAGAGTAGAAGAAAATGATTTCTAAAATAAACTTGCCATGTTGTTATCAAAACTGGGAGGAAGGGATGCTTGGGCATGATAACTCAGAATATAGGTTGTTAGAAGAAGGTACAACCAGAGCTTTATATTTTTTGGTGCTGGGATTTAAGAAAATTAATCTGCTACCCTGAAAGAACATATTCAATATTAACTACTATTGCCTGAAAAAGGAAAGAGCCAATAATGCACAGTTTGTGGCTGGTAAAAAAAAAAAAAAAAAAAAAAAAAAAAAAAAAAAAAAAATTGTACCATTAACAATTCTCTTAAGTAATTATTAACATTTTGGAGCACTTACTGTGTGTCAGCCTCTATGTGAAACACTTTACATATTTCATTTAATTCCTATAGCAGCCTTGTGAGGTTGACATTAATATTCTCATTGTGCTGATGAAAAAAAAGGAAACTCGAAGTATGGATTTGATCCAGATGTGTCTGATTTCATTGTAGTTGACTGTGTCTTAGTTTAAACAGTTTGCTTTTGTCAGTCTATCTATGTGACTTCCTATCATCCATACCTTGGGGACTCCTCCTACTTCTCCAGCTTTCTCTAAGCAGGAGGCATTCCTTTTGTCTCCAGTACCCTCGCAGCCTACCGCTAACTCTTATTAGTTCTGCCCCTAATATCTGTTCTCTTTCCTCCACCTCCGTTGCTGTTTCTCTAACCTTCCTGATGAAGGGCCTGAACTCTGATAATAAATTCTCTTTGGCCTTCTTACCTCCAGTCTTAATCTCCCCACCCATGTTTTCCTTAGAGGAACCAGGTTGAATTTTTAAAAAGTGTAGACTTGAGTTTATCAACCTTTGTACATCTTGGCTTCTCATTGCACTTAGGGCATGATCCTGACCCCTGCCTGTCTTCCCAGCCTACTCTCTTCCTACCCTGTTCTTCATTCTCACACCTTATCTCTTTAGCTCTTACTTCTTCAAGTCCTATTTAAAAATCACTTCTTAAATCCTCTGTCTGGTTGTTGTTGTTGTTTTATTAAGTAAGCTCCGCCCCCATCGTGGGGCTTGAACTCACAACCCCAAGATCAAGAGTCACATGTTCTACCAACTGAACCAGCAAGGCACCACCTTCACTTCCTTAAATCCTTAGGGACTTCCCTGCTCTTCAGATCTGAAAATAAGAAACACTCATCATATCCTTTTCCTTTTCGCACTTATGACAATCTGTAGTTATACATTTATATCATTATTGGCCCAGTATTCCCCACTAAACCATGTTCTCCATGAGGGCAGGGACCAATTCTATTTAGTTAACTTCTGAATGTCTAGCATCTGGACCACAGTGCCTGAAACATAGTAGGCACTCAAATATATGTTGACAGGATTAACAGACTAATAACTGAATATGTCCAAAGCAGTGCATTTTATATTTACTTTTTTAAAGTAAGCTGTATGCCCATCATGAGGCTTGAACATAGGACCCTGAGATCAAGAGTTGCACGCTCTATTGACTGAGCCAGCCTGGCGCCCCAAAGCAGTGCATTTTAAATGATTGCCCTTTTTTATAGTCCTCACATTCTGATTTCATTTATTACTCAAGAGCAAACTTATGTTTAGAGCAATTTTATCCCAGCAGCTTTTAATGTGAAGTTATAATTGACTTTATTAAGCAATTCATAAATGTGGCTACATCCCATCCAGGAAGTAGAGGGGCTCTCTGAAGAGTTGTACAAAATGGAAGGTTTTTACGGGGAGGATGGAACAAGGAGTTAATAGCAAGAGACAAGAAAGGATTGTTTCAGGCTAGATCATTTTCCCTTAGGGGGAAGGACAAGGGTCTTATCATGCAGATTACTTCATCTTCTTTTAGGCTAGGAGTAGGCCCATGTGACAGATTACCTCATGTTAGTCAGAAAATTCCTGATTGACTGGTTAAGACTATTTCTAGGGGAGGTCTAAACAGCAGTTAAGCCAGTCCTGGTTTGGTGACTTGGATTAAGTGACACCATTTTGGGCCTGTGGTTTTCTTTTTAACAGGAGTAAGCTGTGCTTCCTCCATTGCTGATTGTTGTTAGCAATTCAGATTCTGTACAGTGATGCACTTGGTTTTCAAAACTTCTGTATCCAAGCCAGCTATAATAAAGTTCTAAAATTTAGGATATGTAATTCCACTCATTTTCACCTGAGCCTGGTGGGTGGGAGAGGAAGAGAGGAGAAGGCTCCACTCACTTGCTCCAAATGGTTCCCTGGCCAATAACACAGAAGCTGGAACATTCCTGTACCTCAGGTGTACCATTCCCAGAATCCAGGAATCCAAATTTAGCTTTCTGCACACATCCTTATGGTTTTTGGTTGCTATCTTTGCCCAAAGTGGCTTTGGAAGGAGAAACTTTCCCTCCAATGATTTATTGTTTACAGCAGTCTTCCAAACCTTTGCCATGGACAATGGCCCATTAGAGCCCACAGACAAGGCTGTCTGCCCCTGGTCAGAGGCACATAGGCATGTTGGCTGGGAATCTTAGCTCGCCATGACCATTCCAAGTGTTGTGGATTGTGGATAACATAACTTCTTTCTCTCTTTTTAATCCACAGTTGGTCATGTTCGGAGTTTGACCTGAATGAGATTCGCCTGATAGTTTACCAGGACTGTGAGAGAAGAGGAAGACAAGTCTTATTTGATTCTAAAGCGGTTCACAAGATTGAAGAGGTAGCAACTCAGGTATGAAATGCAGATTTGCTTTCATCTTTTTAATTTGTGCTTTTAACCACCTCTCTGAGCAGTCGTTTATTAGTTCATAATCTTCTCTTTGAGCTCTACCGTATGTGTCATTAAGGTTCAGAAGCAGCATAAACAAAGGCTCTCCGCCACCCCGTCCTGCCGCATTTGTATTCTTATTAATATGCCAGGTGAAACTTTTACCAGAGTCATGACAGATGCTCAGCAGTGTACTGTAAATATTACTAGAGGTAAATTTGCTGGTGAGTTGTAATTCAGTAGGATTTTGATGCCAAACATGTGCTATGTAATAGGAAAGCTGAGCACTCTAAAATTCAGAAAGTGTTAGCCTGAAGGGAAGTTAGTAGATCCTTCTGTCTGGTATTTCTCATAGATAGTAAGAGGTATTACATAGCACTGGGTTCAACAAGATTAAATAGCTTTTCTTACTATAGGGCTTCAGTATGCTAACATACACTGTCCTCTTCAAAAGGGAGTGTTTCTCAAACCCATTTGACCAAGGAAACTTTATTTACTTCCTTTTTTTAGTGCAAAGCAGGGGGAGGGGAAGGGGGAGTGTTGTGGGGTGGGGCACGGCAGGATCTGGGATGGGTTAAGTGAGGGCAGAGCAGCCCTTGATCCCCTGGAGCCAGAACAGGAAAGGTTAAGGTCACATGTCCAGGTGAGGAGTAGGGTCTGGTCCTCCCTGAGTCTTCTGGACCTCAGCCTGAGGTACTTCTAAGTTGTCGCCTTTAGACTTTTCATTCTTTTCATGTTCAGTAGCTTCCAACTATACTGACCAAATTCTGGAAGTTCATCGCATGTGTAGCTAAGTAAATGAATAGTTTATATCACAGTCTTTGTTTCATCAGGGCCAAGGAGCTGTTTTCCTGCTTTTGATAAGGATCATTTCTGCAGGAAGGAAGCATTTGGTTAAAGGCAGTTTAGCTGGGTAGATTCCATAGTACTTTATAGTGGAAGTCTGCCAGGTAGCTAATCATTACAGTAGTTGTTGGGCTTGTTGGGTTGGGGGGGCGGGGAATCTCTCAGGTGATTCACCTGTAGGCTTTAATGGTAGATTTATATCAAAGTTTAGGTGAGCCAGCACTTGACAGGACATGATTTCTCCCTTAATTTCCCATATCATTTCCTGTTTCCCTGAAGGCCTTGCACAGATGGTTTAGTTGAAACACCCACACACCATCACTAGGGCTCCTAAATGGTGGTAACAGGTTGAAGAAAAAATTCTCACTGGCTTTTCTTTTTTTAAAGTTTATTTATTTATTAATTTAGAGAGAGTACATGCGTGCATGCTGCGGGGAGGGACAGAGAGAGAGAAAGAGAGAATCCCAAGCAGGCTCTGCACTGTCAGCACAGAGCTAGATGTGAGGCTCGATCCCATGAACCGTGAGATCATGACTGGAGCTGAAATCAAGAGATGCCTAACCCACTGAACCACCCAGGTGCCCCTCACTGGTTTTCAAAGGCAACTGGAATTTTGGTATATCAGAGCAGTGATGACACTGGAGTCGGGAATATAAGCTTTCTTGGAAGTGCTCATTTAGTCAAAAAGGTAGCTAGGTCCAGAGAGGTTTGTCATTTTCCCAAGGCTACAGAAAGAGTCCAAACAAGTAGTGCTCGTCTCACCGTCCCAGGTGCTATCTCCAATTATAGACTGTTCAGTATGTTGTACCCCAGCCAGAGGGTCTAGCAGTCTGTGAGGCAGGTGTGGACTTAGTGTCACTTTGGGCTCTCTGAGGGGCTGTGTTGGGTTAAGTGGTATTAAGTAACAACTAGATCTGAAGAGGGTGTTGAAGGAGTGCCTGATACCCGGGAATTACCAAGTACGACTTTGAATGCTGTCACTGCTGGAGTGACTAATGTTATGGACCAGCACAGTATGTGTTTTCCGTACATTCTTTTCCCATTTTCAGCCCCCCACTCCCTTGGCAAGCACAAAACGTCATGAGTTTGTATCAGGCACATGACTGCAGGCATTTGCATTAGACCACCAGTGTGACTGTCACATTGGAGATTAGATAAGCTGCAGTTGCATTCATGTTTTTCCAAGCAAAAGCTGCACACAAAAAGGCAAGTAAGACTCAGACAGAATAGAAATAACCTACCATAGATGGCACGGGATGCTTCTGTAGGGAGCAATATAATTTGGTGTAGGCGGAAGGGAAGAATTAAAGGTGTATCTTTATACCTTTATGTCACTGTCATAAAATTAGCAGTGAACTCTGTTTAGGGACTATATAGTAGATAATCTTATATTACTCCTAACCTTTAAAGGCCACTTTTCCATCACATGATGTATAATTCACAGGAGCTCCTGTTTCAGAGTTTTGGTTTATCTTTCACAAACTCTCTCCTGTTACTTTTAAAGGAGTGCTAGAGGAGGTGTGTCATTAAAAACACAAACCCAGGCTTTCCAAATTAGTAATTCTGCTTTCCTAGTTCGTTGCATTTGCCTGGTACAGGGCTAACATTTGGAGCATTGTCTTTCTCCACATGAATTTTATAGATTAGGACTTTCCATTAGTACTAATGGGTGCTCTAGTGACCCAAACAGAGAGATCAGATCTCACTGATGATTTCAGGAGTCGAAATCCATGAAATCTATGAACCGAACTGTAAATAACAGTTGAGTCACTTATGGCGAATAGTCCTACTACAAGACCACCATCTCCTGTCTAGTTACCCTTCTTCAGACCCCCAGGGACCACATTCTTGTCCTCATAGAGAAGGAAAAAAAGCTTCTGGTTTTCTGTGCAGCTTAGGCACAGCATAACAGAATGATTTGACAAAGAAGTTCCCAATGAAAAGCGTGCTGAGGAAGCCCGATATACTTAGCAATCCCTTATCTTGCCTGTCTGTCAACCCAGAAAACAGAGGATGTGTCTCTTAAAATGTCAGCCAAGTGCTGTCAAGGAAGCGGCGGCGGTGGCAGCAGCAGCAGCACCTCTTCCTATAGTTCTTCCGGGGCATCTTTACAACATGCTAAGGAGCAGCTTCCAAAGTACCAGGTAAAACCATCCCTGCCCAACCAGATGCCCCGTGGGGCTGAAGTCATTTACTGTGATTTCTCCACAGGGAATAATAGCTGCTGGAGGATTCTACTCCAGGGACATGAGCATAAGTATTCCACAATGTGCTCTTAAATGTGTCCTGTCAGTGCTCTTTTCACACTTTGGCTTTTCTCTCTCGATAAAAACTGTATCCGAGTCGAGGTGATCAAGTATAATATATGAATTCTATATTATAATGGTGAATGAGGAAGACATATTGCAAATGAGGTAAATGCTTTTGTTTTGCTCTCTTTGTTGTTAGAACTAGATTAAAACACACAGTTTCCAGTTTTGGCATAAAAATTCTAAGGATTCTGGGAATGTATATGGGCATCCTAAGAAAATAGCACTTGCCAGTAGGAGGAAGAAAATCTTGTTTAGAAGAAAGAAATGGTAAGATCTAACTTGAGTGTGAGGGATAACAGGGCTAGTGGCATCTGTGTGTGTGTGTGTGTGTGTGTGTGTGTGTGTGTGAGAGAGAGAGAGAGAGAGAGAGAGAGAGAGTAAAGGATAGGGATGTGGGTTATTGAGAAATATTGGCTAACGAGAAATAAGGGAAGAAATGTTTCATAAATACTGAAGAGCAGGAGGATATAAACTGATGAAGAATGTATCAATTTTTTTTTTCTTTTTTGACTTGTGGAATTTTCCATGTTGCTGGAAAAGCAAAGCTGGGTAAATTGCCAGCAGCCACAGGTCTATAGAACTTTGTTAATTTCATGTTCAGGATTTGTGCCACGCATTTGCCCTTATTTCGCAGTGCTCCTCAGTTTCCAGAAGGTTTGTGATTTAAAAAGTATACAGTGAAATTTTCAACTAGTTGAGAATCACAATTGGCGTATAGACCCTGTACCCCAAGGAAAAGCAGATTATAAAATGGAGGCGGTAGGTGGAAGTTATTAATAAAAAATGTGAAAGACAGTTGGTTTCTGTCTGCATGTAGTGAGGAGAGGTTGGCGTGAGCTATAACCAAACAGAGAGGAGCCTCGTTAAACAAGGCTGAGAGATTTGTTTCTCTTTCCTCCTCTGCAAACATGTATAAGTAGGTTGTGTATGTGTTTGTTAGTGTGTGCATGTACTTGTGTGTATATAATGTGTGTGTGTGGATTTGAAGTTTAAAAAAAATATTGAGAAGACAGTGTTAAGAATGATTCCCGTGTTTTGGCTTGGATGGAAAGCACACTAGCAGAGAATGCAGGGCTGGATGGGCTGGATCCTGGACCATTGTTTTGTCTTGGTCAGGGTGTGCTGGGGTGCCCGCAGCACACTAGTTTGGTTGACATTCACATCTATCATGTTCATCAGGTGTCTAGAATCCTACATCCAAATACATTCATTCACATATCGTTATAATACATTATTGTATAATATGTGTTACATTATCTTTACATACATATAATGATACCTGAATGAATTCATTTGGATGTAGGATTCTAGAGTTCAGGGAGAGGTCTGGGCCTGGAGATAAAAGATGTGGGAAGTATTCCTATGTAAAGAATAACCAAAATCCTAAGAGGGGTTGAGAATGCAGACGGTGAGTAGGAGTGTCCTCTGAGGAACAATCCTGTTCAAGGGAAGATCTAAGAAAGAAGATTCGACAAGGAGGGTAAATAAGAACACCAGATACCATGAGACATGTTTAAGAAAGCAAACTGGAAAGGGTGCATTGGATTTGACAGGAAGGCAGAAGTCATTACTAGAGCAGTTTGAATAGATGAGGCTGCAGTAGGTTAACAAGCAGATGAGATCTGGGAAAGTGGAGGTAGCACAGGCCCCCCTTTTGGATGACGAAAGGGATGAGAAAGACTGGCCAGAAGGTACAGGGGTCAGATGTTTTTGAAATATTTTTTTGTAAAACTTCAGAGGTATCAGACCATCTGTCATCTTTTGGACCCTCACAAAACCCTACCTGTGCCAATTGGTATTTTCATTCAACACTATTAATTATTGAGGTGAATAATGCTGAACTGTATTTTTATTCAGGATATATATATATATGTATTTTGAAATTATTATTTTTTAAAATTTAAATTCAAGTTAGTTAACATACAGTGTAGTCTTGGCTTCAGGAGTAGAACCCAGTGATTCATCTCTTACATATGGCACCAGTGCTCATCCTGAAAAGCACCCTCCTTATTGCCCATCACCATTTTGCCCAAACCCCCCACCTCCCTCAGTTTGTTCTCTGTATTTAAGAGTCTCTTATGGTTTCCCCCCCACTCTGTTTTTATCTTATTTTCCCCTTCCTTCCCCTATGTTCATCTGTTGAATTTATCAAATTCCACATATGAGTGAAATCATATGATATGTCTTTCTCTGACTGACTTATTTTGCTTAGCATAGTACCAAGAAAAGAGTTACCCTTTTTTTTTCAGAACTTAATCTTTAAAGTTTATAAATGGAGATAATAAAAATCTTTATTTTTCATAGCAAGATTAAAAACGATCTTTGATGAAACACTTGGATCCTACATGAAGATACTGTGTATACAAAATCATGAACATAAGTAATAATATGGGAAAAAAATAGGCAATCACCATTATGGATTAAGACTGTAAAATGATCAGTTTCTGCCTTGAGAAATAGTTTTAATTATTTGCTAATAATCTAAAGAAGGACCCCATAGATCAATAAATGTTATTTTCTTAAAAAAAATTTTTTTTTTATGTTTATTTATTTTTGAGACACAGAGCACATGCAAGGGAGGGGCAGAGAAAGAGGGAGACACAGAATCCAAAGCAGGCTCCAGGCTCTGAGCTGTCAGCACAGAGCCCAGCAAAGGGCTCGAACCCACAAACCATGAGATCATGACCTGAGCCAAAGTCAGACGCTTAACTGACTGAGCCACCCAGGTGCCCCAAATGTTATTTTCTTTTGCATCGCACATCATGTTGTGCCACATACTAACTTTGATTTTGGTTTCTTTAATGTATGCAGTACACAAGACCCGCTTCTGATGTCAACATGCTAGGGGAAATGATGTTTGGCTCGGTTGCAATGAGTTACAAAGGCTCCACTTTAAAGATACACTATATACGGTGAGTTTGGGCTTCTTTTCCTACTATTTGTGAAAAACGGAATGGTGAAACTGCTTTCTTATTCAAAAATACTTTCTCTCTCTCTCTCTTTTTTTTCTTCTAGTTCTCCTCCACAACTGATGATTAGTAAGGTGTTCTCAGCTAGAATGGGCAGCTTCTGTGGGAGTACAAATAAGTAAGTGTGGGATTTTGTACCAATCCACCCTCCCTCCCCATTTTTTTAAGTGGCTGTTTCTGGAAAGAGTAGTTCTTTGAGAGCCATACATATTTTTGAAATAAGAAGTGAGATGAGTCCACATTAACAAAGAAATGGCCATTTTCCTGCACATAATGTATATGAAAAGGCCTTTGACTTTATTAGCTGGCCTTAAAGACAAATGACTGTTTATTTCCCAATGCTGTTTTATCTTAAAAAAAAAAAACAAAAACAAAAAAACTGGTTGGCTAGTTAATGTATTTCTAAAGAAATGAAGCACATAGTGAGTTTTTTCAGGCTGTGGGGCACATGTATGGCAGGCTGGGTCGTATGTGCTCACCATCTATTCAGCTGTCAGTATCGCCTCTATGACTGGTGGGTACCTGGACCAGGCCATATCCTGATCTTCACTCCTGAGTTTTTTCCTCCTCTAATTTTATATTTCTTTGTAGACAAAGAAAACTGATGTTAACTCTCATTCTGGTACATTTGTTCATACACTTTGAACTTTTCAAGCAGAAATATTTCATATGCTTCATTTTTGAATAAAACAAAACATTTGCTATACTTTCGTAAGTTTGAAAGAAGTTTGTTATAAATTAAAGGGATATTCTTAGAGGCCAAATGAAGGCCGTTCTTTTTTCATAATCTTGGGAAATTAAAAATATTTTTCTTTGTAGATTTGGGTACCTTTGAGTAATTCTGCTTACTCTTCAACAAAGTAATGAATTTAACTTGTTTGAGCATTTAACATTGGTCTGGCATGACTTAAGCCTATATGAGAATTGATGTTTTTTTTTTTTTTGTGAGATACTCTTTTTCACCCTTTCAGTTATACACTAATTCCCTATAATAGAATATCGAGCTCACATTTAAGTAAAAATTATTTTGGCCCTATTAATGTTGTATTCTCCTTGAAGTCTTGATATTTATTTTACTTGTTAATAAATCAAGTAAATTATTAAAATTGGCTTCTCTCACATTTGTGTCTATGAATAATTCTAACTTCTTAGATGTTGTGAAGTCAAACTCCTATGGGAATCATAATTTCTGTTATATCCTCCTCCTGGAAAAACTTTCTAAATTGCTCATAGATGTTAACTGAGAGTTCAGCTCAATTTCATTTTCAAGTTTTATGTGAAATTACCCTTGAAATGAATAGTAACATCTTGAGTGTCAGTTACTAAAACACAATTTAGAAATGAATAGCGATATCCTACGTGTCAGTCACCAAAGCCAAATTTGTAGAGTTCCATGTCCCATTATATAATGTAAAATTGTTAGGAATACGTTGTTTAGTTTTATAGGTTGGACTGCCTTCAAAAAGTTTTTTTGTCTTTTCCTTTCCCCTAAAGTTTAGTTTCCTTTGGTAGGTAGATGTGAGACTTTATTCATTTATAAGGAAAGTTGGAACAACTGGTAAGTTGCCTGTGTTTGAGAGTTTGTTAGAAAACAGTCTTATTCATCTCTTGATATTTTTCTTCTCTCTCTCCTTTCCCCTCCTTCTCTGGATGTAGCTTACAAGACAGCTTTGAATACATCCACCAGGATCCTAATTTGGGAAAACTCAACACAAATCAGAATAACTTGGGTCCTTGTCGTACTGGAAGTAACCTAGGTAAAATCAGCCACATAACTGGGCTCTTTCTTTCTGAATACCACTATTGTGGGTGTGTGTTTTGCTTTATTTGAGTTTGTTGTTTTGTTTTGTTTTTTTGCATTATCTTTAATCTGTGTTTATTTTTGTGTGTGTACTTTGTTGGCCCTCTTCCGTGTGTCTCTGTCTCTAGGTCTGCTGCAAGCATGCGGCAGCAAACTGCTACAGGGCGTAGCTGAAGGAGGACCTCTCCGGCTCACCCGGAGCGCTTCTTTCTTTGCAGGTTTGTGTGGAATGCTGAGAACAGTGTGACCCACACACATTAGTAATAACTCCTGTGCAGTTTCTTAGAAAAAAATCCTGTTTGGTGCCTCTCTAGAAATCCAAGGGGCTCTTGAGATAACAGTTTCAAATGCAGCCAAGTTCACGGTGTTTTGAAAAATTCCACCAATGAACTTCTATCGTAAATGTCTTTGCTAATACCCCAGTGTAAGCTGATTTTGATCTGAAATGAGCCCTTAGTGTTTCTAAGAGGATTATATTTTCTGATTTTCCTGGGCCTCTTCAGGTCTGAACTGTTTTCCTTTCCCATGGTATATACTTCTATCCATTTAGTCACCTGCATCCCCACCTGCACAGAGTTTCTTCAAAAGTCACCTAATAAGAGCATGGAAGACCTCTCTCTCTCTCTCCCTCTCTCTCTTTTTCTCTTCCTCAGCCACCTCATCTCTCCCTCTCTCTCTCTCTCTACTTTCCACCCCTACTCTCTCTAGCATTTAAGTAGTTTAAATGCAGTTTCTAGGTTCTTTACAGGTATAATCATCTCGGTCTCTCTGGGTAGGTAAATTCTTAGATTTAACTGGCCTTGCTAGCTAAAGCTGTTGAATGTCTGTTGAAGTCTGGCATGATTAACAAGTGTGGGGAATCTTCATTACTAACATTAAAGGTTATGTTTATGACAAATGGTATTCCTCATTCTGTTCTTTGTAGCTGGAAATGTGCTAAGCTCTATTAGTTAACTGACACCCCGATGAAAGTGACACCTTCCCACCTACTTAGAGTGAGGCTAACATGTTTATATGCTCTCTTCAAAATTATGAAAATAAACAGTCTTCAAAAACTATCTGGAAAGTATAATAATCAGGCAGGGCCCTGGGTTTCTCATACATTGTAAAGCTTACTATAGCAATATGTCCTCTACCCTCTAGCTCAATATGTATGATGAATCTGAAGCATTCCTACAAGTCTGTAATACTTTAGAGTGTTTTCTAAAATTCATGCCAGGATATTCGTTTTTCTCAGTAACTCTACAGTGATACTGGGTGTATATGGAAAAGAAATGGAGGAAGAAATATTTGAAAATGAAGGGGTTTTTATCTGCCAAGAGAGTGGGTTATAAACAGAAACATTTTTTAAATTTATGAAATGGTATTCAAATATTTCTGTTTCCTAAGTTGCCTATAGTTACTAATAAAACTGATTATAAAGCATTTTGAAAATACAGTGCTATTTAAATATTACTAATGATGAGGACAATGGCTGGAAGTATCTGCCTGAGAATGTTTGTTCATTTTATCAACTGCATGAATAGTTTATTATTCAGTTTGCTTTAGAAATAGGCACCACTCCAACAAGTTTTTATGCTACAGTAGGGTAAAGACAGGTAATTACTTGGTTCTGTTTTTACTCTCACCATTGTGTTTTATGTATTTAATTTTGCTTTCTCGTTAATTTTCATATATACACGTATACCAACCATCAGTAGCAGTAGCCTACTTTGAAATGTAAAAATTACTGTAGTGGCTTTTAAACAAGGCCTTCTTTGGAAGTTCAATAACATTGTTACCTTTTGCCTTTATCTTAGCACATAGCACTCCAGTTGACATGCCAAGCAGAGGACAGAATGAAGACCGGGACAGCGGTATTGCTAGATCAGGTATTTGCACTTCCTTTTATATGTTTAGTTGATAGAGTGAACTATCTGTAATGATGAAGTAGGTGGGAAAATAGAAGACAGGTCTCGCCTTCTGGGTTTTTTCCTTTGCCATATTCTTTTTTTTTTTTTTTTT